GAGCCCCGCAAAGACTGGCCTCTGTGATAAGGCCAGTGGGCTGAGTGGTGAGGTTGATGTGATCTGTCACCTAAGAGTGGGAGTGATGCCACCTGGGACCTAGCCACTTATGGCTGCCATGTCTTCAGGTGCAAACCCAACTGAAAGGGTGGTTGTCTCCTCTGTCTAGGTCTTTAGAACCTAGGAACTGCCTCATTCGAAACAGGAAAAACATCCTTGGTTAATGCAAACATTTATTGAGAACCTACTATTTGTCAGGCATGATATTAGATACTCATGTATATCATCTCATTTAATCATCAAAACAATTCATAACAGCCTTCTGAACCATTTTGCCATCATTATTGCCATCTTACACATAATGAAGCCAAGATTAAGTAACTTGTTGAAAGCTATCTAAAACATGACCGGGCACAGTGGCTCATACCTGTAATCCCAGCATTTTGGGAAGCCAAGGCAGGTGGATCATTTGAGGCCAGGAGTTCGAGACCAACCTGGCAAACATGGCGAAACTCCATCTCTACTTAAAAAAAAAAAAAAAAAAAAAAAATTAGCCAGGTGTGGTGGCCCACACTTATAATCCCAACTACTTGGGAGGTTGAGGCGCAAGAATCTCTTGAACCGAGGAGGTAGAGGTTGCAGCGAGCCGAGATCGTACCATTGCACTCCAACCTGGGCGACAGAGCAAGCCTCTGTCTCAAAATAAATAAATTAAATTAAATAAAACAAAATTAAAGCTATCTAAAAGGTAATTAGTCCTGAGACGACATACAGCTCAGGTCTGTCTGATTCAGAAACATTGTAATTACGTATTATGGCAGATGGGAAAAGATGTTTATTGCAGCTTCGTTTGCAATAACAAAACACGAAAAACAACCTAAATGTTGTTAAGCAAAAAAAAAAAAAAATCACGCTGTGATGTGCACATAAATGAATACAGACTTGTGTGCGTGTTGGGGGAGGGGCACACACACTCCTCTGTGTGTCTAAAATATTTCCGGAGGGAGGATACCTTCTGGAAGGTGAACTAGAAGGCTAGTATGGGTGGGAGATTTCTTTTTCACTCTGTTTTTGTACTGCTTGGATTTTTAATTTTTTTAAGGAGTGTATGTATTAAATCATTACTGTTTCTAAACTTTTAAAAACCAATGTAAATCCTATCCTCACTACTCCACTGCCTCATTGAAGGCGGGAGAAAGTTATCCCCCATGGTAGCCCCCTCTGCACTGCCAGCCTTCTGACAGGAATGTCAGTGGCATTGCCTGACCCTCCTCGCTTTGCCAAGCGCCCCCACTCACATCAGTCTTTCTCATTTAAGCCTCATACCACCTGTGGAATGGGTGCTGTCTCGTCTGATGTGAATGAACCTGAGGCTTGGGGCGGACGCCTGGCCAAGGTACAGCCAGTGAATGGGAGAGTGAGGACTCATACACAAGCCTGGAGTCCATGCATCCCAGGAGGAGGAGAGTGGGCCTTCACCTTGATGTTTCCATTGAGGTGGCTGTGGCCATGACACATGGTAAACTTATAATCATTGGAAGACAAAATTATTTGCTTTGAAGATAGACATCAAATCCTGGCTTTGCCACAAATTGGTTATGTGATCTTGGTCAAGTCACCAAATCTCTATATGCTTATTTTTGCATGTATAAAACTGGAATAATAGTACCTGTCTTATAGGATTATGGTGAGGGTTCAATGAGAATATACAATATGTAAATATAATATATATCAATATATAACTATAGGTACTATTAATGAAGAATATGTGCACGTGTTTGTGTAGCTATAGCATTTAGCATGGAGCCTGGCACCAAAAAAAGGGCTTAAATAATGTAGCTAGTATTATTGTGCACACCTGTGGTTGCCTCCCAAGTAAGAGGTGAGTGATCTCAAGGTTCTTTTTTTTTTTTTTGGAGACAGAGTCATGATCAGTCACCCAGGCTGGAGTGCAATGGTGCCATATCAGCTCACTGAAACCTCCACCTCCCAGGTTCAACCGATTCTCCTGCCTCAGCCTCCCGAGTAGCAGGGACTACAGGCACCCACCATCATGCCCAGCTAATTTTTGTATTTGTAGAGACGAGGTTTCACCACGTTGGTCAGGTTGGTCTTGAACTCTTGACCTCAGGTTATCCACCTGCCTCAGCCTCCCAAAGTTCTGGGATTACAGGTGTGAGCCACAGCACCTGGCCTCAAGGTTCTTACTAGATGTAGGGTCTGCTCTGTTCACACACCAAAGTTGGGGTCTTCTGAGGACAAATAGAGACAGACCTGGGTCCCTGTCTGCCCACAGCCACATGGGGGTTTGTCTTTGAGGTGAGCCTGACTCCACAAACCCAAGGCCTTTCATAGGCAGGCAGTATAGGTCCCTTCTAGATGGAGCATTCCAGTCTAGATTGAGATGGAACTCCACAGGAGTCCTTTGAAAGAAGGCTTTGAGTGCCCACACCATGCCAGCTCTGTGTCAGGCATCCTTTCTAGGTGCAGAAGCGGTAGCTTTCATGGTGTGATTAGAGCATTAATATGGAGCCTAGGGATCTGCGTTCTAGTTCAGGCATTAAACCAGTTAGACTATATAATTAGAGGTTTGAAATATACTGGCAATTACTAACAGATTTAAACGGATTTAAAATACTGCAGGTCCAAGCAATAAATCATATTTGGTTAAATTCCTGTTTTTAAGTGGTTTTCTTTCTCTGTTCATTGACTTTGAAACTTTCTTTTCTCAGCCTGTTCTTTTTTCTCGGAAAAATCCTAATTCTGTTGTTTGGCAATGTTGTCTTTAATGTCCTTGTTTTTCCCCTCTGCTTTTTTTTTTTTTTTTTTTTTTTTTTTTTGGAGACGGGATCTTGCTATGATGCCCAGGCTGTTCTCAAACTCCTGGGCTCAAGTGATCCTCCCACCTCAGCCTCTCAAGTAGCTGGGATTATAGGCACAAGCCACCACATTCAGCATCCTCTACTGTTTTGATTCCTAGAAGTTTCCAGTTGTGTGTTTATGAAGGTATTTCTGTGCCTTGTCTTCCCAAGGTCTGGCCTTGGAAAATAATAGAAGAAAATTATATTGCTGATATTATCAGTATAAAGTAAAAGTGTGCCAAAGCATACAGCCATTAAAGAACACAATGGATAACATCTTCATAGAATGGATGCCCAATTTTATCAAAGATGGAGGACAGTGATGGAAGTTGGTGAGGATTCTTGGTCCTCTTTAGCAGTATTTCAAGTATAACCTTGTGTAGCCACCAAATTCCTTTTGCCTCTTGGAAAGAGACTTGAGTAATGGTCATGTTGACTTTAACACTTTTTCTATGTCTGTTCACTGGGTTGTGTGCTATTCTACAATTGAAGGTTTTGCTTGTGAACATATGAATTATATACTCCACCAAAAAGTTCTGTTTTGCTCCTTGTATATACCATAAAAACTGTGTGCTTTTAATGAATATTGCTGTATTTTTTCCCTGGGTAAAACTGTTGTAATTGATGACTTAATTTTCAGAAGTCAGTTCCTTCCATTTAAGTTTTTATCTTCTTAAAACTTACTTTAGATTTGGTTTTCATTCTCACTTTAGTGTTTACCTGAGTTTTGCTCTTCGCATAACCACACACATATTATAAAGGGCCTTCATGTGGAAGCTTTTTACTTAAGTCCAATGAAATAGAAAACTCTGCACATTTAAAAATATACATTTAAAATTGTTTTTTATTGTTTTATTGGGCAGTACAAAATACAGTCAAGGCAGATTCCTACAGACTTGTAAATTCATCTCAGCAGTCCCTTATGCTTAAAGTTTGCTCAACCCCATTTATATTCACTACTACCATTCACTTTTTACCACTAATATCTTCCCTGCTGTCTAATCACTAATATCTTCCCTCCTGTCTAATCACTAAGTTAAGGGAAAAATAGTCATTTACTTACAGAAATATAATGGGTATTAATAACAAAATTCCATTTCCCAATTAAAAGCTATGTCAAAGAAAAAAAACAGTAGAGGCATTATTTAAAACTTCTAAATGGCCTTGTGAGTATAGTCTTAGTTTAGCTTCCTTATTTTTTTGTATGCCCAACCTGAAATGACATCACATCACAGTATGTTGCTTTTTCAGTATGAAGTTAATGGGCTTTCCTGCTGTTTAACTGCTTTGAGATTTTAAAAATGCATTCAGCTACATAGTATTCAAAGCATGGAGCTGGGCGCCACAAAGATTTGGGCCTGGCATCACCCAGAAGCTCAAGGAAGGGAGCGGATGAGCACTTTCTCCATTATACATAGTACTTGATTGTTCATGGAATACAAATTTAAATATAAATGAACTATATATAAATGCCATAATAAAAAGTATACGAAAGTGCTTTGGAAGTACAGATAAGAAAAGTGACACTTCTAGCCTGAGAATCAGGGAAGAATGGTCCTTCGAGGACTTGAAAGAAAAAATGGACAGAATTAAGGCAAAGACGTGAGGACTAGCTTTTCGGTCTGAGGCAGAGTGGAGATCGAGCACAGCAAGAGGTTTGGTTGGTGCCTATATCACAAACAAGGTTTAACAGGAAGTTGGATTAGCAATTGAGCCTTGAATGCCAGGCTAAAGATTTATGATTTATTATAGAAGCAGTGGAGTTAGTGGAGACGTTTTAGTGATGTATCCTAGCTGATATCTAAGGAAGATTAATCTGGCAGGACTTGTGAAGTAGAGGGTAGGCTGGCAGTGGAGAGAATACTTAGAAGGTAGAGGTGGGCTGGGTGTAGTGGCTCATGCCTGTAGTCCCAGCACTTTGGGAGGCTGAGCTAGGAAGATCACTTGAGACCAGGAGTTCAAGACCAGCCTGGGCAAGTGAGACTCCATCTCTGCAAAAAATAAAGAATAAAATTAGTTGGGTATGGTGGTGCATGCCTGTAGTCTTAGCTACTTGGGAGGCTGACACATTAGGATTGCTTGAGCCCAGGAGTTGGAGGCTGAAGTGAGCTATGATCAGGCCACTGCGCTTCAGCCAGATGACGAAGCGAGACCCCGTCTCTATTAAAGAAAAGAAAAAAGAAGGCAAAGGTGAAACTAAATAAAGAATCCTGGTGAGGGACCCTACAAAGATAGGATCAGTTGATGAGGCAGCCACCAGCATGAGAGTCAAAAGAGACCAAAGAATAAGAAATGATGTCAAATGTCAAGGATGGCAATACCACTCACAGAAACAGGGAAGATGGCGATTTAAAGAGCTTGAAGTAGCAATAAGGCAAATGGAAATGTCATTTTCCATAAAGAGTTGTGATATCTTTTCTCCTGCATTAACGTTTTTTAAATACTGATAAAGTATTTTTAAAAATTACTAATGCTGACTGGCTCAGTGGCTCACACCTGTAATCCTAGCACTTTGGGAGGCCGAGGCAGGCGGATCACTTGAGGTCAGGAGTTCAAGACCAGCCTGGCCAACATGGTGAAACCCCATCTTTACTAAAAATACAAAAATTAACTGGGCGTGGTGATGTAATCCCAGCTACTTGGGAGGCTGACCTGGGAGGCGGAGGTTGCAGTGAGCCAAGATAGCGCCACTGCATGCCTGTCTGGGTGATAAAGTGAGACTCAGTCTCAAAAAAAAAAAAAAAAACTAATGCTTTTGTAATGTTTGACATTTGAAGCATATTTCTTAGGAGCTCAGAAATGGAGCTCCTTGCACTATGCATGTGTTGTCCGTGAAAACAGACATTCTCTGTGATGGCTGTCCTTGTTCTCTAAGATGATTTCACTATTTATTTTGTAAGGTAAGCAGTAGAGTGATTTCTGATTTTTGACATGAGAAAATAAAGGAATGGGTCTAAGCAACTATTAAGGCTGCCCAGGCACAAAGCTATGAGATATATAAAATATAAGCCATCAGTGTTGTTGTAGTAGTAGTTAGCATGGTGAATAATAAGTATAATATTGCTTGGAGCAAAGCAAATGGTAAAAATCACAAGGATGAGGAGACTCGCCTTAACATACCACAGCCATCTATGATCATATGCACTAAGTGTCCGGATGATGGCGGTGTAGCAGTAGATGATAAGCACAAATGGAATTAAGAATCCAAAGAATGCCAAGGAGATGAAGTAGTAGAGTTGGAAGGGAGACGAGGACTCGCATGTGTCGTGAACATCATGGCAGGTGGTGATGTCTGGCTGAACAAGATAATATTCCTGCTTCAGGATGAAAAATGGCAGCATATATAAGAAAACTGTTGCCCACACCAGTCCACATGTTACCAAGGCATAGGTGTGCTTGGGCAGGCCCCGGTAGGTGAAAGGATGGACGATGGCCAGGTAGCGATTGATGCTGATGCAGGCAAGGAGCAGAATGGAGCAGTACATGTTGCCATAGAAGATGACTGTGGTAGCCCGGCACAGGACCTCTCCAAATACCCAGTTGTTCCCATTGAGATGGTAAGCTATCTTAAAGGGCAATGTAACACAAAAAAGAAAATCTGCAATGGCCAGGTTGGTGTAGAATACGGTCGTACAGATGGATCTGGTCCTGAAGAAAAGCATCCACAGGGTTACAGCGTTGGCCGGGACACCAACTACAAACACCAGGAGGTAGATGGCAGGTATCAGTTTGGTACTTAAGGAGCTGGTCAGGTACCCCATGGTAGCATTTTTCACATGGAGATGTGAAGCACTTTCTTCAGGGCACTTAATTTTTACAGTAATGGTGGCTCCTGTCCAGCCTTCTAAGGCAGAAAAGGGGAACTCTTCAAAAGAATCTGGGGGAGCTCCACGAAAGGTCTTAATATGTAAAGTTGGCTTTGCCAAGTTGTTTGTATCATTTTCCATGCCTGTAATTGAAAGAAAGTATTAACATAAATTTATAGTTCAAGAAAAAAGAAAACAATGTGTTTAATTATTTATAAATAATTTCTGTGATTGTAGAATTTAAGATCACTTTTATTTTAAAAGTTATTATAGATTAGTCACTCAACAAGCATATATTTAATACATATCATATGCCCCAGAACAACACTATCTCATGCAGAAACAAAAACTAAATGATCAGTCCTTGTGTGTGAGGTGTTTATAATACTATTGGAAGAAACAAAAAAGCCCATCAGAACATTATAGGCATGTTGACTATAAACTATATAGGCATTCCGACAATACTTAATAGATTCAGATGTTTGAGCAAAATGTCAAGGAAAAGATGAACTTGAGCAAAGATTAGCAAGGTTCATGAAAAGATGGAATTTAATGAGTAAGATTCTGCTGGTGATGAATGGGCAGAAGCATAATGTGGGCTATCATGGGATCTGGGAATGCCAAATAAGTTGATTTAGCAAATTTCTATTGTATACTTATGTGTCAGTGGTGTAAAGTTTTAAATAAACTCCATTTCTATCTGTAAGTAATGCTACTAGTGTAGAAGATGCATAAAAATGCATTGTCTTATGCTAATAAGGTGCAGCTGAGAAAGGAAATTTAAAGAGTGAGTGACAGCTAAATTCCTGAAGGGCCTCTAAACTGTCCTAAGAAATCATATGTCTATTCACAGATGCTGGGATTGCACACATAATTTTGAACAGAGGAATAACCATTGTGTTAGGCAGAATAATAGCACCCCCTAAGATTCTACCTGCTAATTCCTGGAACCTACAAGTGTGTTTGTTCTTTTACCTAGCAAAAGGAATTTTGCAGATCTAACTTAGTTAAGGATCTTAAAATGAGATTTTCCTGGATTGTCTGGGTGGGTCATATATAATTGTAAGAGTCCATTTAAGGGGAAGGTAAGAGGGTCAAAGTCAGAGATTTGAAGACACTACGCTGCTGGCTTTGAAGATGGAAGAAAGGGTCGTAAGCCAAGGAGTGCAGGCAGCTTCTAGAAGCTGAATAAAGCGAGATAGCTGAGTCTCTCCTAGAGCCTCCAGAATGAACCCAACTCCACCAACGGCCTTGATTTTAAGACCTCTGATCTCCAGAAATATAATCTGTTGTCTTAAGCCACTCAATTTGTAGTAATTTGATATAGCAGCAATAGGAAACTAATATAGCCATTATTGTGACTTGTTTTTAAGATGTCTTAGGTAATAGTTTAGAGAATAGATTGAAAAGGTAAGAAATTAGAGGCAAGGGGACCTGATTTGGAGGCTACTGTTATCATTCATAGCTCAGTGAGTTACTGAGCTAGAACAGTGGTCATGGAAAGGCAGAGGCGAATACATGAGACTCTGATGGCGGCTCAAAGGGACTTGGCATCTGATTGGCTTTGGGGTACAGTGAGGGAGAGGCAGGAAGCAATAATGACTCATGTTTCTACTCTAGATGACTTAGAGGGAGAGAATGCCATTAACTGAGTTGGAGGAAGAGACAAGGGGGCAGGATGGGGGAGAAGCTACAATCTGTTTTTAGTCTGACTGAGGATGAGTTGCTGGTGGAATATTAGTGTGTAAAAACGTCCAGCAACTGGTTAGAAGACTAGATGTGGGTCCAAAATTCCAGGAGCCCAAATTAGAGGCATGGTTTATTGTAGTCTGCATGGAGGCTCTCGTTTAATTTAGTGGAAGTGGTTGAGATGGCCTAGGGAGAGTTATGAGAAGAAAGAATCCAAAGGTGGACTTCAGGGGTAATGACAGATTTTAAGGGAAGAGGAAACAAAGGAGGAAAAATCAGAAGATGAAATCGGTGTGAGGACCTAAGAAGTTGGAAATGAATTCTTTAAAAGATAGAAACACATCAACTATATGCTATCAATATTTGGTGTTACTTGGCATGTTGATGTTAATAATCCTAATTCCTGCAATTTCAAAAACAAAATCTTAAAGCTCAAACCTGAACATTTATTATTATATAACTTTTTGTAACCCTTTCACATGTATAGAAAATAGATTCTCTCAGATTTCTAATGTTACCTTTGAGATAGACTTCTATGCCAAATATAAACCTCATTCTTATGGATTTAAAATGCCAGTACTGGGCCATTGCATCTTGTCCCATGGCCTCAAAATTCCTCCATATTGAATGCTTGAAGTTAGTGTTTAGTAACCTGTGTCTCATACAGAGCCAGTTTCTCTTCCTGCTTTAATCTCTAGCAGTTAGCTCCTAGGTGAAATGGAAACCTTCCAAGTAAACCTGAGATTGCACAAACTGAATTCATGGAGTAAAATAGAGGAGGTGTGGCCTGATAACTTAGGGTATGGAGGTGATCAGGTATCATTTAAGAAAAGGTAAATTAGGCTGGGCGCGGTGGCTCAAGCCTGTAATCCCAGCACTTTGGGAGGCCGAGACGGGCGGATCACGAGGTCAGGAGATCAAGACCGTCTTGGCTAACACGGTGAAACCCCGTCTCTACTAAAAAATACAAAAAACTAGCCGGGCGTGGTGGCGGGCGCCTGTAGTCCCAGCTGCTCGGGAGGCTGAGGCAGGAGAATGGCGTGAACCCGGGAGGCGGAGCTTGCAGCGAGCTGAGATCGTGCCATTGCACTCCAGCCTGGGTGACAAAGCGAGCTCTGTCTCAAAAAAAAAAAAAAAGAAAGAAAGAAAGAAAAGGTAGATTAAAGAAAAGGAAAGAAAAATGTGGGAGGCAGCATTCTTCTGTGCCTGTATTTAGAGGTGATCTTTGAAGGTGTGTGTGACACACAAACCCTTCTGCTCACTTTTGCATTTTGGAAAAATTCTTGCATCTGACATCACCCAAAGAGAAGTGGCTTTAAAGATAGGCACAAAGGCCGGGCGCGGTGGCTCAAGCCTGTAATCCCAGCACTTTGGGAGGCCAAGGCGGGCGGATCACGAGGTCAGGAGATCGAGATCATCCTGGCTAACACGGTGAAACCCCCGTCTCTACTTAAAAAAAATACAAAAAACTAGCCGGGCGTGGTGGCGGGCGCCTGTAGTCCCAGCTACTCGGGAGGCTGAGGCAGGAGAATGGCGTAAACCCGGGAGGCGGAGCTTGCAGTGAGCTGAGACTGCACCACTGCACTCCAGCCCGGGCAACAGAGCGAGACTCCGTCTCAAAAAAAAAAAAAGGAAAAAAAAAAAAAGATAGGCACAAAGTTAGAGAATGGTGGCTGAAGATCATGCCGTACAAGTTATTAGCCTGATTTTAAAAAGCTGTTAAAACCAAGTGTCTGTCCGTTTACAGAAAATTTCTGGGATTTAGCAAGACATCATGCCTCCAGACATGCCAAACAGTGCCTGTGTTTTGTGGAAAAGTTGATTTGATTCCATTTTCCAAGAGAATGCCAGATCTGGTTCCACTTAAATAAGTCTTTTATTCCTCAGAGCCTGGTTTTCCTTATGAATTGTATTCATTGTTAAATTTTTTTAATGTATTTTAATTCTTCATAGAGGCTTCCATTGGGCATAATGTTCCCAAAATGTTTTTCTGTCTAGGAAAAGGCCTTGAAGAACTAATCCAAAGGGAATGAACTCCGGCCTCTCGGGGGTGTCCAAAGGAGAGAATACGGTCATGGATTCATTCACAGTTTCTGTTTCTAGTTGAGCCAGTAAAGCCCCTTCCTCATCCATGTTTTCTGTTTATCACTGGAGACAGAAACTAAAAACCATGGCTTCAGGCTGCTAAAAGCCTAAAGCAAAACAAAACCACAACAAAATAAGGCAGGTTGGACGAGCTTGCTTCTTTCTTCCTTCACATTTCTCCCCCACCCCTATGGAAGAAAGCAAATTCACTGCCTCTTTGTTTCCTTCAGAGGCCCCCCATTTTCACCTCCATCAAACCCTACTAGTGTCTTGAAGGAACCACCCCCGAAAACCTTGTTTCTTTTGCAATTCTGCTTCTTAACATATTGGCCCATCTACTCCCAGAAAGAGCGTGCACTTACTGTATTCATAAATCCCACATGTGCTTACTGCTAATCACCACAGATTCTCTTAGAGCTCTCTGCAACAACTCAGGGATTCCAACTGTGAATATAAGCAATGTTCCTTTAGAAAGCATTATTTTCTGTTTTTGTTTCCCTTGCTATGTCCAGTCTTTGCCTCTCCCACTTCTAACAATGTTGACTGGAGTGTGTGACCTAATAAAAAGTGACAGGTACACACCTATCCCAAATTTGTTATTTTTGGAAAAAGCAGGAGGCTTCAGGCTAGCATTGTGATGGGTAAAGTGGAAAGTACATTCAAAGTTGGATAATAGTATTTGGGAGACCTTATTTCTAAAATTAAAACATCATATATGAGGGTAGGGAGAACTCCCCACTGAAAGTCAAAAAAGGTCGTTCATTTTGGAAATAGTGACTTATTAGCATTGCCAGCTATTGAAAGCAGATGACTTCTTTCTGGCAATATTCTTGTTTCTCCCATTTATGTCTCATCAAGAGGTATAAACACAGGATATATTTTTTAATCCCTTGAAAAAGTGCCATCTTTGCTTAACCAGAAGAGAAAATTCTTTTTTTTTTTTTTTTTTTTTTTTTTTGAGACGGAGTCTCGCTCTGTCACCCAGGCTGGAGTGCAGTGGCTCACTGCACTCAGCTCACTGCAAGCTCCGCCTCCCGGGTTCACGCCATTCTCCTGCCTCAGCCTCCCGAGTAGCTGGGACTACAGGCGCCCGCCACCTCGCCCGGCTAGTTTTTTGTAGTTTTTTTTTAGTAGAGACGGGGTTTCACTGTGTTCACCAGGATGGTCTCGATCTCCTGACCTCGTGATCCACCCGTCTCGGCCTCCCAAAGTGCTGGGATTACAGGCTTGAGCCACCGCGCCCGGCCGAGAAAATTCTTACAAACACAAAACATCTTTCAAAATTGCTCCCTGACTTAATTGTAGACATCTAAAATCTTGAATATGCCACACATTTTTAAACATCAGGAGGGAACACTTAGTCTTTGACCAGGTTTGAATAGAGTGAATGAACTATAGATGTTCATTTCCATGGTTCTACCTTTTAATAATAAGATCAAACTGCCTTTGGGGTTTGCAGTTTGTGTGAGATGCAAAGAAAGCTAGGTTCAGTTGACTCTTAATTTGTAACAGGAACGCACGTCCCCATCCAACCCCCTGAGAAAATTGCTTACCGCTCTGACAAAAAGTGGGCAACAGAAGCAGGAGGCCAGCAGCTGCAAAGATGAGGGCTTTCATTTTGATGACCTGAGTCTCGTCTCTTGAACGTTATGAAACGTATACAATCATGGAGCACAATTTCACCTCAGTTCCATGTGTCAGCAGCAAATGGAAGCCTTGGTCTGTCTGTAGAAGTTTGCTCTCCTGTGCCGAGCAGGCAGGAAACTTGCACTGGTCCGCTGTAGGGAAAGGATGTAACCCACTCGATGCTTCAGTAAACATGACTCAGGCCAAGCCTCTGAGTGTGTTACGTTATCTCTGGAGAAAGGCATTTAACTCTTATCCACCCCCAACAATCTATTCTGAATAGGTGCTGTAATTCTCCCCTAGTATATTTGCATTTAAAGAATGGCAGAAATTACCACAGGCCTTTACAGAACTAAGCCAAAAACAGATGTTGAGCAGCAGTAAGTTTTGAATCTGTCCCATCTTTCATTTCTTATCCATTTTAAAAATGCAGTTCCAGAGTGTAATTTCTACTTAATAAATTATCCTTTCTTTTATCTTCCCAGCTATTTCAAATCTTAATTCTTAAACACCTTATATAATTATAAATTAATCATGGAAAACAAACATTTTTTAAGAAATTCAAACTGAGTGGTCAATTACTTTGAAAATTTTCCATCAATATCATATTGATTTGAATTTGTCATCAGTGCCTGGCCAGAACCTGGCTTTTGAGTGGTGGTGGTTTTTCTTTGCTGGGTGAGGATGGGGTTTGTTCGGGCTTTTTTTTTTTTTTTTTTTTTGCCTTATCTTGATGTGTTTTAAGCCATTCAATAACCCTTAGCGTCAGATAACTGGAGGAACCTCCCAAACAACACTGTTCAATTAAACTAAAATCATAGCACATCATTAAAATAAAAACTCCCTTTATTCCATGAGTAATGGAATAAGTCTTGCTGATGAATAAGTCTACAATAAGATATTTTTAATAAGGGTAAAATATACATAACATAAAATTTACTATCTTAACCAGTATTAAGCATATGGTTCAGTAATGTTAAATACATTCACACTGTTGTACAACATATAAGCTTTTATGAATTGTTATATTCTGTAGAGTATGACTTAAATACAGTTAAAAAAATACATTATAACAGATTTTTCTGTAGTAAATAAAACTTAAACTTGAAGACTTGCCACCACACTGCCTGCTCCTTACAAAATGCAGCAAGAATCAGAAAATACAAATTTCACATGAGACTTAAAGGCCAGGGATAAGCTAGGAAGAAATTGATCTGCGGAAACCTTTCACATCTTGATTAAATTACATTAGACCAAGATTTTTACAAAGGTCAGTGTTTAATACTTCAACTACATAATATATGGTTATACAAACTGAGATTGAATGCTATTATATTGCAGAAATAAAAAACATAAAATATTGACAAAGGTTTTTTCTGTTTAATTAGAACTTTTCTGGGAGTTATCTAAAATCAGGAATTTATGACGATTTGCACATGGCCTAGTTTCTGGTCATTTAATTCATTTTTAACTCTTCCGTTGAACCTGGCTGTTTAACTGAAGTGGAGGTGTGGCCGTCCCATAAATATACTATTATTTTCAGTCTTCTGGTGAACAACTGAAAAAGCAGACTTGGCCGGTCGCAGTGGCTCACGCCTGTAATCCCAGCACTTTGGGAGGCTGAGGTGGGGGGGATCACTTGAGGTCAGGAGTTCGAGACTGGCCTGACCAACATGGTGAAACCCCATCTCTACTAAAAATATAAAAATTAGCCAAGTGTGGTGGCAGGTGCCTGTAATCCCAGCTACTTGGGAGGCTGAGGCAGGAGAATAGCTTGACCCTGAGAGGCGGGGGTTGCAGTGAGTCAGCCTGGGTGACAGAGCAACACTCTATCTCAAAAATAAATAAATAAATAAAATAAAATCAATAAATTAAGAAAAAGCAGACTTTACATTGAAAAGATTCAGCTTTTACTCTTGGCTTTACATTTAACTCTAGCAACCTTTAGTTCAATGTTTCATAATTTAAACTGCTGACTTAAATTCATCTGATTTGTAATTTCTCTCTTCAGTTTGGCTCATAAGACTAATACTTTAAGCTTTGAAGTAAGATTGTTACTCATCTGGGTAAAAATCTGTGTGGTGCATCTTCTACAGTGATAAGTTATGAAGGCAGGTAAATACCCTTCAAAAGAACTGAGACACATAAATGAACTCGTAGAGCTTAGTTTTTAGGCTATACCTGGGGAGTGTTGGGTTCTCTGAGATCTTGGAAACAGAGAAAAATTAGCCCCTGCTTCCTTGTCTCTTTTTTCCTCCTCGTCTTCCCCTTTCCACCCAGCTTCCTGTTTGAGCCTCCCCCATCCATTCTTAAAAGAAATGAAAAATCTTGCTGATGCTTCCATTGTAGTCTGCCACGTAGCTAGAGGTGATTGTGGAAGCAGGCACCAAGACTTCTCCAGAGGTCTCCTTTAGCCCAGATGTTGCAGGATGAAATAACAGATACTTTATCTCATTTTCAGAGCCCTTTCCACATGTATTATCTCACGTTAGTCTTTGAGGAAAATAGTGTTAGAAGCCTGCCAGAGGAACCAGTGACTATTTCCTCTCCTTGCTGCCCCCATCCATCTTAAGTTTTAAATGACAGAGTCAGTGCCGGATCCATTACCTTTCATTCATCACAGTCTTGACTTAGGATTTAGAACATGACACTTACTCCTACACATAGGTAAAATGTTCCCATTTGTTAAATGTCACATGTTTCCTGAAAATATCTCTGCTGATAATTATTTACTTGCCACCTCAGACAAGATTTTATAAAACACAATTGCTACCTAGAAGTTCCACTTAATATCTGTCAGGGCTGACTTTTGTAGCAGGACCATCAGGATCAACCCAAAGTTAAATATGAATATTTACCTATAATAGGAAAAATGCAATACATTTTCATTGCTACTGTTGCTCCCTTTCTGAAGCTATCTTTAACTACTTAATCTTTGCTCCCCCTGCAGCTCAACACCTTTACCATAGGTTAACCCTTTCTCACCTATGTCTGGATCATGTGTCTGCAGCATATATTGCCCTGATCACATTGTATTATAATTCTTTTTCCTTTTATTTTTACTTTTTTTTTTTTTTTTTTTTGTGAGACAAAGTCTCACTCTGTCGCCCAGGCTGGAGTTCAGTGGCCTGACCTTGGCTTACTGCAACCTCCACCTCCCAGGTTCAAGCAGTCCTCCCACCTTCCTCCCAAGTAGCTGGGACTACAGGCATGCACCACCACACCTGGCTAATTTTTGTATTTTTAGTAGAGATGGGGTTTCGCCATGTTGGCCAGGCTGGCCTCGAACTCCTGACCTCAAGTGATCCATCCCCGCTCAGCCTCCCAAAGTGCTGGGATTACAGGTGTAAGCCACCACACCCAGCTGTATGTCTTGACACATCTATCTCTTACACTACATTGTTAGCTCCTTGAGGATAATCACCATGTTGTTTGTTTTTAATTTTTGTCTCTGTGTCTGATAAATATGGACGATCCCTGTGTTTCTCTCAAATTAAAAATATCCCATGGTACCCTAGGGCCCCTTGACACTTAGTTTGGGAACCACAGTAATTGATTGAGGGAGAGAGTGTTTGACTAGGGTAGCCCAGGAAGGCTTTTTGGAGTAGGTAGCATCTGAGTTGAGACCTGAATGGTAAGAAAAAGCCAACAGCCACGCTGTGAGGGTAGATAGAGTATTGTGGTATGAAAGAGACTCATGTGAAGGTCTAGAACAGGAAGGGGGAAGTAGAGGGGTGTGAGGTGCAGCCAGAGAGGCAGTAGGCAGGGCCATGCTGTTGGAGCCCCACTGTCCCTGAGAAGGCACCTTGTGTTTCCTTCTAACTGCTGGGGGAAGCCTTTGGGGAAGGTTTAAGCAGAGGAGTGGTGCACTGAGCTATCCATTTTGAAGGGATCCTCTAGGCTCTCTATAAAGGGCCACTGTGGTGAGGGCAAGCTTAGATGCAGCAGAAGCTACTAGGGGACTAGTGCGGCTGTCCAGTTGGGAGATGATGAAGGGTTGGACTAAAGAGTGGTGGGGAAGAAGGGGGAAGTGGTCGGGTTTGGGGTCTGCTTCATCAGGAGTGTATACAGTACATGGCAGAGCTGGGTAGTTGCTGATTAAGAATTTGTGGGAATTGTGATTAAATGGCTCCTCAAAAGCAGTTATTAATTCTGTTTCCTCATCATTCACTGTTCTTTCTTTTTATTCTGTGACATTGTTCCCAGGACTCTGAGAGTGTTTCCAAAGTGCTCTGGCTGGATGAGATACAGCAAGCCGTCGATGAGGCCAATGTGGACGAGGACAGAGCAAAACAATGTAAGCCCTCACCTCCTTTGCTCTTGAAACTTGTCTTTTTGGATTTGGTTATGTGCCTGAAGTCATGCGATTTTTAATTTCTGGAAGATTTGGATTCTTACCAAGTTTTAGTTCTTGGACACATAATTATACCAAAATTAGTTGGTTGCCCTGTTGTCAGTGATTTGACTCTATCTCCAACAAAATTTAACAATGTTGCTGAACAAAATCCAGAAGGTAAAAAATAGTTTTTAAGCTCTCAAATTGTATAATTGAATCAAATCCTTTTTTTCTCTTGATTTTTAGAGAACTAGATCATTTCTACTTAATAGATGCCTTTTTCTCCTTTCCATGGCCTTTATCGTTACCAGGGTTTTCCATAGAAACAGAACCAATAGGAGACCTGTGGAGTTGGCTAGCTGATCATGGTGCAACTAGAAGTGAAATAGACTGGCAGTCTACTCAGTTCTTACTTAATCTGTACAACTGGATGAGTTTTGACTCAAGCAAATAGAAGTCTACCTTGAATCATAAAAAGAGTCATGGACCCTCAATCAATTCCCAGAATGGGGCCAGTTTACAAATCCAGAACCCCTCAAATGAAGGGAAGGCCAGGCCCCTTGAAGAAGAACTCAGCTACACTACCAAAAATGTATACTGTTAGTCTTTCTTCCACCCCTCCCCCAAAGGGACCTATGGCCTTTTACCAGGGTGATTGTACTTAGGAGAAAGGACATAATCAGACTTTTGGGGATTAGTGGACACTTGCTCTGAACTGACACTAATTCCAAGAGGCCCAAAACATAACTGTGGTACACCAGTCAATGTAGGGGTTTATGGAGGTCAGGTGATCAATAGAATATTAGCTCAGATCCATCTCACAGTGGGTCCCTAAACCCCTTCTGTGGTTACTT